CCGGGGGGGGGGGAAGTGCCCCCCTTGCCCCCCCCCCCTGCGGGCGCCCATGGCCGCAAATAATATTTTCCGCCCATGGATGCACTAGTTCCAGCCACGTCACTAGGCAGTGTATCTATCGGCACCAAAATTAGCGATCACTTTCATCGGGAAGTAGAAATTGAGGGCGCCGTTGAATCTTGAGCGGTGCAGGGATCTGGAATAATTGAATTCAATGTTTCTATTATAACTTTTGATCGGAGAAAGGAAATTTTGAATGGTCTGGCGAGGCATTAATGCGCCCAGTGCCACACATGATACATAAACTGAATTCACTCCGGTTGTAGCGTGCCCAGGTGATACATAAACTGAATTCACTCCGGTTGTAGCGTGCCCAGGTGATACATAAACTGAATTCACTCCGGTTGTAGCGTGCCCAGGTGATGCATAAACTGAATTGACTCCGGTTGTAGCGTGCCCCAGGTGATACATAAAGTTCATAAACTGAATTGACTCCGGTTGTAGCGTGCCCCAGGTGATACATAAACTGAATTGACTCCGGTTGTAGCGTGCCCAGGGGAATCATTTTGCACAAGGTTATATTCAAATTCATTCTGTAACATTGATCAGCCTGAAGCAAGGGGGCTGCAGAAATTGAGTGTGCTGAAGACAGTCATGCAAAATTCAAATGCAAGGGTGAATTTTGACGCATACTTGAATTCTGAGGTGATCTTTCCTTTCAAACTTTCCGGTGGACAGTGCCAAAAACTAGCCATACTATTGATCAAGGACCTCTACAACGCCTCACCAGTGGGACACGAACTAAATTCACCCCACTTGTGACGCCCTTGAGGGCTTGCCTTTACCCCTTTTCAGTGGTCGGCAAACTCATTCGTCAAAAGAGCCAAAAATCAGCAGCGGGACCATTAAAAAAATGTTTAGAGCCAAATGTTTTTGGTTCCAAGACCCTGTCAAGAATCATGTTTTTTCAGATTCCAAACCGAGTCGCGCTTAGCCGACCACTGTCCTAGCTTATTCTCATCACTTAATTCTTTAGAGTCCCCAGAATTTTTTTTTGATGAATTCAAAATACAAGAAAGCACTTCAGCACAGGCACTATTTATTTCTGCAGCATTCTATACTTAATTGGAGAGCAACGGAAGAGATGCTAGATAAAAAAAAATAAAAATGCAGGAACAGCTTAAACATCGTTTGACCCCGGCAACACTCCGACTGCTGTAGGCCTCTGATACTTTAGGGGCTTAAAGATGTGACCAGGATATTTCCCAGGGCCTCGAAGAATCGAGCAACGGCTCTGCTGACCAGCTTGTGTTATTTTTTATATTTATTAATTACTAATTGTGGCGTTTATTTTCTATTCCAAAAAGCACCAACAACATCATTTTACATGTTGAACGCAAAGGAAAAAAACAAAAAAAAACAAAACTTTTTCTAAATATTTCAAAATTTTTCAGAGCCAGCCCCCCCCCCCCAAAAAAAAAAAAATAAATTTTTAAAAAAAAA